GTTTTTTAAACAACACGTCATGCAAGCTGTTCCTGACAGACTGTCACAGCCCCAGATTTACACGTCATTATTTTCACATAACATCACAGCTTGTTTTTCTTTATCAAAAACTTTGTATAGCCCGTTTCCTGTACCGAAGACCCAGGTTCTTATAATTAGTTTTCCCTAATCTCATCCAAGTTTTCTCTTATCTAAAGCTTTCAAGTGTCGTTTTCTTTTGCCAGAGCCTCAAACACTCATAGCTTTTCCCTTCTTATTGCTTCATGGCCTTCGTTTTTTTCTCCTCCATTATCCTATCTTTAAGCCCCAATTCCCTTTTTCGGTGCCTCATGCTCTCAGAACTCGTTTTCTTTTGCCAAAGCCTCGAGTTCTCAGAGCCATTTTTCCCTTAGTCTCAAACTCCCATTATCTCGTCTTTCCTTCTGGAAGACTCATGCCCCCACAACTCGTTTTCCCTTGACAGACTCTGATAACCTTAAAGCTCGTTTTCCCTTATCCCACCTTAACACAGCACCTCGGTTCATCTCTCCGTTATTTTTGAATGGAGATTATGCCTTCAACAACACTCTTTCTCTTACTAAAACCTCTCGTTCTCAGCCTGATTAACCTTACTGCTCGTTTAACTTTAAACCCTAATGAACTTAAACCTCAGCACAGCACTTAAACCAAACGCGTCCCCCCATCCAACCCTAAACCCCCAATATATCTAAAACAACTCCCCTTAATATCTCTCTCTCTCTCTTTCTCTTTCCCTCTCCAGTTATCGCTGCAGATGGAGTGGTCTCGGTTCCATCATCAGAAGTGGGACCAGGCCACGACCTTCGCGTGGAAGAACTTCTCTTCAGCGCCTGTGAGGAGGATGTTCTCCTTCGTCACGGTGTTGGGAAGAGCCGCCCTGTCTGAGGATAAGCTAAAGGAGGTAAACTTTTGGGTGTCTGCATGACTTTGCTGTTGTTATTATAAGGTATTGAGAGAGATGAACGTGTAAATCTTAGTGAGTTTGTTGATGTGTGTGTTTGTTTGTTTGTGTGTGTGTGTGTGTGTGTACGTGCTTGTTCTTTAGGTATGCATATTGTCTGTTAGATTCGTATCGTTCCTTTCAGGTATTGTTACGAAATAACACCGAAAGGAATGCAAGGAGGTAGTAGCAAGGAAGAATGGGAAAGAGTGAAATGTAGAGAGATAGGCATACAGAGAGAGAGAGAGAAGGGAAGAAAGAACGAAAGAAATTCATTAAGAACGAGAGAAGGAAATAAAGAGATGAGAGAGAGAGAGAGAGAGAGAGAGAGAGGGGGGGGAGAGAGAGAGAGAAAGAGAGAGAGAGAGAGAGAAATAGAGAGAGAGAAAGAGAAAGAGAGAGAGAGAAATTACAGAACGACTCTTTCAGTTGACAGAGCTGACCCAGGAAATGAAGTCGTCCTACTCCGCTGCCAAAATCTGCAGGTACGACCCCACGCGTCGTCGTCTGGATAACGGAGACTACGACTACAACGCAGACAACGACCTGGACAACGAGATCGGATGTACTCCAACGCTCAGTCTCGAACCCCGTAAGTTAATATTATTCTTAAAGTTAATACTATCCTTATCGTTCATATTTTAACATTGTAAATATTCGGTTAATTTCGGATTGCGATTGTTAAGGAGAGACTTATTATTATTACCATTATTATTTTTATAGTTGTTTTTGTTTTTGCTATTATTGGTATTATTTATATTTATTATTATTATTATTATTGTTGTTGTTGTTCTTACCATCGATATTATTGTTGTTGTTCTTGATATTATCATTATTATTATTATAATTATTATTAATATTATCATCATCATCACCGTCATCATCATTATCATCATTATCATTATTATTGGAGGTTTTATATAGATCTTCCTTATAAAGTAGAACAATAACATCATAAAACTATTACGAATGTTGCATCAGGAGCGGATGAAGCACCATGCCAAGAATAAAAGCGCTTTGTCATTATGTTTTTTTCTCTGTTTACATAATCTTGGTGTTCATCTCTAAGAGAAGAGAGAGAAAGAGAAAAAAAAAATCCATTGTGAAAACTTATCATCTCCCCTAGATTACTATCCCCCCCCCCTCCTCTCTCAAAGATAGAGTCAGTTTTTGCTCTATTTATTATTTCTCTAAAGCGGAAAAGGTCTAATCATATATTTTTTCTTTCTTTCTCTCTTTTTTTGGCTTATATCACACTGTCCCGGATAACAGCTGATAATATGCTCGAGCTTGAGTGCGAGTGTGCGTGCATTTAATAAAGTATAATTGCGCTTCTCCTGGATTTATACATATATATATATATATATATATATATATATATATATATATATATGTATATATATATATATATATATATATATATATATATATATATGTATGTATGTATGTATGCATGTATATTTATGTATATATGCACCTCAACATCACCAGCCTGTAACACTCCACTACAAGAAGTAGGGGTCTCCCAATCTTTTCCACTAC